ATACATGATCACACACTTGATTTGTCCATAACCAGTTTTGGTTATGGACAAACCAAACCATCCCCTGTTCCATATAACAGGGGATGTCAGAGACAGGGCACCAACTGAGCATTCCAAGAAAATTACACCACCAAAAGACAGATTCAGTCCAATTGAAATTTATTTATATAGCACAAAATCACAGCAAGAATTGCTTCAAGGTGCTTTACAATGTAAGTTAAAGACCCTACAACATTATTTTGTGGAAATTCATAAGTTTTTGGAGAAGTTAGGTAAAATGAGAGTGGCTATTAGTTCTGCTCATTAAGTTACAGTGATATATGCACCTCTATTTTTTTTTCCACAAAGCTGGACTAATAAATTGGGTCCCTAGGGAAAAAAGCTAATTTGAGTAAAATGTTCAAATGTTTTGTTCCTGGTAATTACATCATGTCCTCAGCAAATGACAGTGTTGAAATAATAGTTTACCTCATTATTGGCGAGCTGGAACCATGGCTGTTTTCCATAAGTGAAGATCTCCCACAGAATAACGCCAAAGCTCCACACATCACTTTCTGTGGTGAATTTTCTGTACATGATGCTCTCTGGGGGCATCCAGCGGATAGGCAGCATGGTGTGACCTCCCACCTGAACATACAGATACATACATACACACATTGAAATGCTTTATGGGAAAGGTATAAGCAGTATGATAACTTCAAAACGTACACAAACAAGTCAGAATCAACACGGCAAATCTGACTTATACATTTGTGATAATCATTTGAATATAAAAGTAAATACATGAATTCATGCTGGACTGAATTTTGGGCACTCATAGTCTTTTTTGCAGATAACAAAGTAACACATTCCACTTAGTTACTCAAACAAGCAAAAGACATTTTCTTGGCTTTAACACGTTATAAAATAAATGCTGACTTCACAATGCAATGGCTGTAGAAGAATGACATCACACTTAGATTACCTGTCTTCAGAAAATGTAAAAGAAAATTATGCCATACACCAAATGTAAATGTACCAGAAGAGCCCATCTAAAGTTTAAAAATGTTGTCTATATTTTTAGCCTTCATGTGTGCACTGTACAGGGTGGGCCATTTATATGGATACACCATAATAAAATGGGAATGGTTGGTGATATTAAAGTCCTGTTTGTGGCACATTAGTATATGTGAGGGGGCAAACTCCTCAAGATGGGTGGTGACCATGGTGGCCATTTAGAAGTCGGCCATCTTGGATACAACTTTTGTTTTTTCAATAGGAAGAGGGCCATGTGACACATCAAACTTATTGGTAATGTCACAAGAAAAACAATGGTGTGCTTGGTTTCAACGTAACTTTATTCTTTCATGAGTTATTTACAAGTTTCTGACCACTTATAAAATGTGTTCAATGTGCTGCCCATTGTGTTGGATTGTCAATGCAACCCTCTTCTCCCACTCTTCACACACTGATAGCAACACTGCAGGAGAAATGCCAGCACAGGCATCCAGTATCCGTAGTTTCAGGTGCTGCACATCTCGTATCTTCACACCATAGACAATTGCCTTCAGATGACCCCAAAGACCCACTATCGTTGTACCCCATATACCACACCAAACCATCACTTTTGTTGTTCCAACAGTCTTGGAGGGATCCATCCAATGTGGGTTAGTGTCAGACCAATAGCGCTGGTTTTGTTTGTTAACTTCACCATTCACGTTCATGAGTTATTTACAGGTTTCTCTTTGTTCACAACCATTGACATGTCGAAGAGGTTAACACGTGAGGAGCGGATCGAAATTGTGTTGATATCTGGTGAACGCAGTAACCGGGTCATTGCAGCAGATTTCAATGCAAGACACCCTACGAGACCACCCATCTCCCATGCTACAGTTAGCAAACTGCTTGCTAAGTTTCATGAAACTGGTTCAGTGTTGGATTTGCCAAAATGTGGACGCAAGAAAACTGTCACTAATGAAGAAACATCAGTGGCTGTCCTAGCTTCATTCAGCAAGAGCCCACAGCGTAGCACTCGCCGCATGTCACTGGAGAGTGGCATTAGTCGAACATCCCTTCGGCGATATTAGCTACTCACAAATGGCACCCTTACAAACTCCAGCTACTGCAGCATCTCAACGAGGATGACCCAGATCGGCGCACAGAATTTGCAGAATGGGCAAAACAAAAATTGGAACAGGACCCTCAGTTCACGCAGAAGATTTTGTTCAGTGATGAGGCAAACTTTTATGTGAATGGTGAAGTTAACAAACAAAACCACCGCTATTGGTCTGACACTAACCCACATTGGATGGATCCCTCCAAGACTGTTGGAACAACAAAAGTGATGGTTTGGTGTGGTATATGGGGTACAACGATAGTGGGTCCATTCTTCATCAATGGAAACCTCAAGGCCACTGGATATTTGAAATTGCTACATGATGATGTGTTTCCCTCTTTATGCACTGAAGCTGGCACGTTCCCTGAGTTTTTCCAGCAAGATGGTGCACCACCACATTATGGGTGCCAGGTCCGAGCATTCCTAGATGAACAGTTTCCTGGAAAGTGGATTGGTCGTCGTGGGCCAGTTGAATGGCCCCCAAGGTCTCCCGATCTGACCCCCTTAGACTTTTATCTTTGGGATACTGGATGCCTGTGCTGGCATTTCTCCTGCGGTGTTGCTATCAGTGTGTGAAGAGTGGGAGAAGAGGGTTGCATTGACAATCCAACACAATGGGCAGCACATTGAACACATTTTATAAGTGGTCAGAAACTTGTAAATAACTCATGAAAGAATAAAGTTACGTTGAAACCAAGCACACCATTGTTTTTCTTGTGACATTACTTAACATTACTGTCAAGTGTTCTCTGTCTGTGAGGTGCCCACACTTGAAAAAGACCAGACTTTGAATTTCACTCACTTTATTTTGACTAGTGATGTGACGTTCTGTATCGAGGCTTCGAAGTCGTGTGTCGAGTAATGGAGGGGGCGTTTCCGCGAAGCGCGTATCGAGGCTTGCTTCATTTATGGGAGGAGCTGAAAATGATGACGTCCGAAGCCTCGCTGCCCGGCTGTACCACGTGACTGGTTCAGAAGTGGTTCGAACTTTGCCGCGAGCTATGACAGCGATATAAACCCCTCAGACCCCATTCAAAATGTGGGTGTTTGATGGAGAGTTGCGGTTAGTGAGAGTTAGAGACAGTTTGGAGAGAGTTTGGAGGTTTAGGAGAGTGAGGAGAGAAAGTCAGGAGAGAATGGAGCCAGCTACGAAGAGAAGGATGTCCTCCCCTGTGTGGGAACATTTTGAGCTTATATCTCCCAACAAGGTATGTAAATTTCTACAGAAGATGTATTTTCATAATACTGATGGTGCAATAAAACCTATGTTAAGCTGTCTGTACTTTTGTACAAGGTGAGGTGTTTGCTATGTGCCAGGGAGCTGGGATATAACAACAACACCTCATCCATGCTTAGGCACTACAGAGCTTTGCATGAGAATAAGGGGAACACCGATTGTGGAGCAAGACCAGGTGAGCCATCAAATGCCATGATAATATAGCATGCAGTAATGTTACTAAATGATATAACAATATTATACAACTGAATAAGTTACGTGTGTGATATTTATATTTGTGCTTTGTCTTTATTGTCTTTCCTCAGGAGAACAATCTCAAATAGATGAAGACCTGGTACCATGGTGATTGAGGACTCCCAGCCATTTAGCATTGTGGAGGACAAAGGATTCAAAAGATTTGTTAAATCATTAAATCCTAGCTATGTTCTCCCCACTAAAAAGGTCATAAAAGCAGTGAAAATTTAGTTTTTACAGAATAAAATGTGAACAGGCAGGACTGAGCCTCAGTGTGTAGCTGTCCATACCTCAACGTTACAAAAGCACAACTACTGTCCACACCCCAACCACACCTCACCTCACAGTAAATGATCATTTCCATTTAAGCATTTCCAAATAATCATTTTCCATACTGCCAGTATAAATATACACAGTATACTGCCATCACTACAATATAATGTTTTACACACTCCTTTTGTTGTTGACATTTACAGGCTGTGTGCAAAAGGCCACACTCTTCAAATTCATGCCAACTAATATTTTTACGTCCAGTAGGTGTCCTACTAGAGCAAATGAAGCTTCAAGAAGCTTTGCACTGGGATGAACCAATTGGATGAAAAGCTTCAGTGCTTCATGAAGCTTCATCTGCCCATCACTAATTTTGACCAGCTAGTTAGATAGCTGATAGGTAGATAGATGGATAGGTAGATGGATAGGTAGGTAGGTAGGTAGATGGATAGGTAGGTAGGTAGGTAGATGGATAGGTAGGTAGGTAGGTAGGTAGATGGATAGGTGAAAAACCGATAACCCATCTAGCTCAAAGTCTTCCTCACAGTGGAAAGTGGATTGTGCTTTGTTTGCTGTCCTCTCAGTATGTTGCACCCAGGTCAAATGACTGCTGCATGCATTTTAAGGTCTACTAGGCACGCCAGCCCTTGATTGCTCTAATTCAGCTCACCTGGCGGAGCAGCTCGCACCAGGCCGCGCTTAGTTGTAGATTACACAAGGTCTAATTAGCGGCCACGCGCAAGCAGCAGCACAGAGCAGGTAGTGAGCAGGAGGAGGAAGAGAGGAGTAACAGCCACACAGACCTACTAGGTCAGCGCGACAATTACATTACTTGCGACAATAATAAGTTTGATGTGTCACATGGCCCTCTTCCTATTGAAAAAACAAAAGTTGTATCCAAGATCGCCGACGTCTAAATGGCCACCATGGTCACCACCCATCTTGAGGAGTTTGCCCCCTCGAATATACTAATGTGCTACAAACAGGAATTTAATATCACCAAGCATTCCCATTTTATTACGGTGTATCCATATAAATGGCCCACCCTGTATTCAGAAAATATATAGAACATATCATATTTTTGTTTTTAATAAATTTGCAGGAATTTCACACAAAATTTTTTCACTTCATCATTATGGGCTATTATGTGTAAAATTTTGAGGTGAAAAATAAATAAATAAATTTAATCTCTTTTGGAATAAGGGTGTAACATGACACAATGTGGAACAAAAGAAGTGCTGTCAACGCTTTCTGGATGCACTTGCAAAGGTCCCTGTCATAAAACAGTTGTTACAGAACAATTCCTCTGCTTTTCCAGCTCTTGAAAATTTCAGAAAAGCTGTTTTTATAAACTGGCATTAAGCGATTACCAAGATGTCTTCAGAGTAAACACATCAGTGTAACTGTAATGAAACGTGTAGAAGATATATCAAATGCAATGGTACTCACGAAGAAACACTTTGTGTATTTCTTGCCTTTTAAAAAGGCTTTTGATACTACAGGTCTTACATTAATGATGAACAATTTAGTAGAGTTGGATGTCTCGAGACCAAGACCGGTCTCGAGACATCCAACTCTACATCCGGTCTCAAGGCCACTTTATGTGGTCTTTGTCTTGTCTTAGTTTGACGGACTTTGGTCTTGGTCTTGTCTTGGTCTCGCTGTCTCGGTCTTGCAGCCTCAGATCGACATAGTGGTCGGGAGATTTGGAGTCAACAGTATCCATGACACACAACGTTACGTTTGTTAATGTGTTGTGCGCAAAAGCATCAGCTCTAAGCGCCGTGCTTAGAGAGTGCTTTGTAGTGAGTAAGAAGAGTCGACTCCCATTGAGCGAGAGCCGGCTCCTCACTTAATTTCCTTTCACTGCTCAGCTCTCACACAGTGGCTCAGCTATGCTCCAATCCGTCCATATTGTGGCCAATCACATGCGAGGATATAGGATAATATCATTATGTGAAAAACAGAGAGGGTGAGAGACGCGACAGTCAAGTGGAGCGTGCGTCTGTCCTCTCAGTAAGTGAGTGAGACAGTAGACAGCGGTGAGGAGGGCTGTGCGAGTGCATCGCAAAAACACATAAATATGCCTGACACCCGTAAACGAAGCAGCATCTGGCTGCAGTTTAAAGACTTTTTTGTCTCGGTCTCGTCTTGGTCTCGATACCCTCTGGTCTTGGTATTGTTTTGGTCTTGGTTTTGGCAATCTTGACTACAAGTCTACAATTTAGCAATGTTGCCCATCTGCAAATAAAACTAATTTAGATTGTTCTGGGCAAAGTGTGTTCGCCTCAGTAATAACCACCATTTTGACTGAGCAGCCTAAATTAGTGACTCAAAAATCCACAGACCAGAGAAGGGGGTGTGAGGGGAAGAGTGGTGGCCTTATTAACCAAACTGATACAGTATAGGCACATGATTTTTTTAAAGATTTGATTATTTGACTTGATTTATAACCATGCTTTACTAATATAACTTGAAGGTAAATGTAAACATTCCACAGATTACTGCTCTAGCACCTCACAGTATAAGTGTACCATATGTGAAGAGCTGCACTTAATGAAACTTACCATTTCATTGCTCATCTTTGAAAACATTTCCAGTTTTGATAAAAAAGAGGAAGACAAAAATACAAGAAGAAAAATGTCCTTACCCTGTAATAATCTGTGCTGTAAATGTCTCTGGACATGCCAAAATCTCCTATTTTGACCAGAAGACCATTCCCCACCAAGCAGTTCCTGGTTGCCAGATCACGATGCACAAAGTGTTGAGATGCCAAGTAGATCATCCCAGCTGCAATTTGGCTGGCTATATGAAGCATCTGGGACAGACCGAGTTCACCACTCGTCTGCAAAGGCTGTCCATCCACTAGGATCATGGCATCTGGCCCATGGGCTCTGATGAGAAAATCATCAGAGGGTTGCACTGTTAGAAATGTAGGACATTCAGGACAATTTTAATGCAAGACGGTTCGACTTAAAAAAATGTAATCTTCTGCACAGAAAACGGAATGAGGCCTACGCAGAAAAGAACACAACACCTACCACAGACAAACATGGTGGAGGTTCTAAGGTGTTTTGGGGATGTTTTGCTGCTTCTGGCAGTGGATGCCTTGAATGTGTGCAAGGCATCACTAAATCTGAAGACTACCAAAAAATTTTGGAAGTCAATGTAGGGCCCAGTGCCAGAAAGCTGGGTCTGCATTAGAGGTCATAGGTGTTCCAGCAACACAGTGACCCCAAACATCTCTCAAAGCACTCAGAAATGGTTGAAGACAAAGTGCTGGAGAGTTCTGAAGTGGCCAGCAATGAGTCCGGATCTAGATCCAATTGAACACTTATGGAGAGATCTCAAAACTGCTGTTGGGAGAAGGTGCCCTTCAATTCTGAGGGGCCTTGAGCAGTTTGCAAATGCAGAATGGTCTAAAATTCCAGTTGAGAGGTGTAAAAAGCTTGTTGATGGTTATAGGAATTGAATGATTGCAGTACCAAAAGAGAGTGCAACCAAATATTAAGTTGAAGGTGCCAATAATTTTGTCCAGCCCAGTTTTTGCATTTTGTGGGAAAAGCTGTCAAATTCAAGTTTGTTTATGTTGATCCACTGCACATAAAGGAAATAAAGATGTGTACACCAAAACAAATGTAATTGTAACAATTTTATGGGAGAAATTGTGCATTTTTTGGAAAACTTCCAGGGGTGCCGATCATTTTGGCCATAACTGTATTTATAGATGGAAGTGTAATGGCTGCAATTATCTCCGTGAGTCTTTATTATATTATAAAAGCCAGTTCTAACCTTTGAGTCCATACTCTTTTATGAGTCTTGCTTAGGTTGTGGAAGAGGTTTGTTGTGTTAATGTCTGTAGGACTTGTTTGCTGCGTAATTTGTTCAATACAGTTTCCTGCTTAGTGTCAGACTTTCCATAATAAACCATGTCCATGCTACAGAGGTAGCCCCTCGTTTAGGAAGTTCTTTGGTGACCATTACTGTTATCTAAAGCAATGAAAAATGTTGACAGTAAACAGTGTGTTTTGCAACATCACGAAATAAATAATAGAGTATAATATGAAACAATAGATGTTTTAATATTGTCATCATATCTCTCACAGACACACATTAGTGAATAGCACTGTTACAAGTAGAATCTACTGGTAAAACTGTCATCAAAACCCTGTAGAAGAAGAAAGACACACCTGCTGCTTCAATGCTTGACTTACCTGAGAAACTTATTGAGATCTCCGTGCTTCATGTACTCAAAGACCATGATGAGAGGGTCTCCATCCACACACACTCCGTAGAACTTCACTATGTGCTCGTGTTGAAGGTTAGTGAGGAGCTCAGCCTCACGCTGGAAATCCTTTCTGGCTGCAAGTGTGGGATCCTTCAGCGTCTGGGAGATTCAGAGAGTATTCTTTTGTCATACAATGGTATCACAGCACAAATGTTACACTCGGATAGCTCGGATAGCTATGGTAACAGTCCTCCCTCATGTGTATATCCATAAGCTTTTCAAAGCAAGGGAGTTATATGCACTCGTGAACTTTTCAACAGAAACTTCATTAATTACTTACAGTAAATGATCCTTAAATTGGGCCAGATTCTGCCAGTATCTGACCACAAATGCCAGTTATTTTCTGTACTTAACACCGGTGAGTTGTCACACAGACTTCCATTTTTTGGCACCCTGTTAAGTGGCAGCCTGTTACAGCACTTCCCATTATTGTTGTTGCTGTGCTGTTTTAATGACTTTATCACCCGATAAGGTTGACCTTCCTTGCACAACTAAGTTGAGATAACTCATTGTTTTGCATCTCATGTCCTACAGCCTGGAGTAAGACTTGTAATTCTGAAGGAGCCACAGGGGAGACAGACCATGAAGTAAGTGGACAGCTAAGAAGAAATATAAACAGGATGTACCAGCTGTAATTGATGTAAAGTCCTTGGAAAATAGGGTGGACGAGCTAGGTAAGCTTATTAACAGAATAAAGGAAAACTGTGAATGCAGTTTGTAGTGTTTCATGGAGATGTGTTCACACTCACACTGGCTTTTTGAGTGGACAGGGATGATAACCTCAGTGTTAATGAGAAATGTGCAGAGACTGCACTGTTTGTGAAGGGTTATTGCCATTGCTCTTTGAACTCAGTTTGAATCAACACAGTGCTTAGATTCCTTCACTAATATATTTTAACTTCGACCAGATGCTTTTGGTAGTCATCACCAAGCTTCTGACATAATTCTGGCTGGATATTTGACCACTGTTCTTGGCAGAATTGGTAGAGTTGATTTAAATTGGTTGATTTCCTGCCACAGACCCAGCTTTTAAGAATGGGCCAGAAATATTTTAAAGAAGTCAGGGTTTTGGGTTGGGCAAAATCAGAGGTCAAGTTAAAAGACACCGAAGAGAGTGTAGTAGTCTGACTCATCTGTGTAGGTTCTCAGTCATCCAGGTCACAGTAAATGGTAAATCGACTGGTTCTTATATAGCGCTTTTCTACAAGTACACAATGTACAAGTACACAACCTGTACATTCACCCATTCACACCAGCACATTTTTCTAAGTGCTTTCTAAGTACCGTAATTGTCGGGCTATAAGCCGCTACTTTTTGCACAAGCTTTGAACCCTGCGGCTTTTAGTCAGGTGCGGCTTTTCTATGGATTGTCCATGATTTTTGTCATATCCTAAGACGATTTGTTTTGTTTGTTCCGCTGTTGTACGGCACTACGTTGCCTGGCGGAAGGGCATGTGATCAGACACACAGTATCGGGGTTCAAGAGTGGTATGTTGGTCACGTGTCCATCCACCAGGCAACATAGTGCGAAAAACAAACTTCAAAGTAGCGCTACGCATTCAGCGGGAGTCGTGGATGACGAGCGGCGATAAACTTGCGAAAAGCAAGTTATGCTCAAATCCACCGGTGGAATCTGACAGCGTGGAAAAGTGTGAAAACATCCATGATCACCAACGGATTTCGAAGGGCTGGACTGCTGCATGATGGAGAGGAGGACACTGCCACGGCCCTTCTGAGGGTGTTCGACTCTGACACTGACAACGAGGATTTGTTTGGTTTTGAAAGTGACAACAAAGGAAAGAAGCTGAGAGTGGATGACGAAGCCATCCTGAGCCTGTTTGTATCCGACACTGGAGAAGAGGACTTTGGTGGTTTTAGTGCGCAGGAAGATGGTGGTGAATGACTGACTTTTCTTCTTGTTGAAGCCGTGTCACTGCACTTGAGCCTAAAAGGTAGTCCGAATCTATTTTTCTGGTGTGCTGTAGGCTACTGTTATGTACTACATGTGCAAATATGTACCCATAACTTGTTTCTCAAAATATTAATAAAAGTGATGTCTCCAAACAGCCATCTCTTTCCTGACAATTCCCTTTGTGCATATTCTCTTACATATGATAAGTCAACATTGAAACACCTGCGGCTTTTGGTCAGGTGCGGCTAATGTATGTACAAAACAGGATTTTCCCCTGATTTTAGCTTGTGCGGCTAATATTCAGGTGCGCTTTGTAGTCCGGGAAATACGGTAACATTCACACACACATACTCCGATGGATGCATCAGAGAGCAATTTGGGGTTAGTGTCTTGCCCAAGGATATTTGGCATGCAGACAGGGGAAGCCAGGGATTGAACCACCAACCTTCCGATCAGTAGATGACCCGCTCTACCACCTGAGCTAAAGCCTCTTTAGACAGTAGTCTGTTTCTATAATGCTCTGAGCACGCACACACACACACACACACACACACACACACACACACACACACACACACACACACACACACACACACTAGTTATATCTATGTAGCTTACCTTTACAGCTACCAGCATCTTGTCCTTAGTGGGACTCAGGTTGTAACACTCAGCCAGGAACACCTTACCGAAGGCTCCCTCACCAAGCTCTCTTTTCAGAATTATGTCCCGTCGCTTAATATGCTGAACATCTGAAAAAGAAAGAGATAAGGAGGAAATGAGTTTTCAGCCATTATTATTACTACAAAACAGCCACTCAAATGAAACCTCCCAAGTATTCATTCCCGCTGCTTATGTTTGATTGCCACCTGTTGGCTACAATTTACATCATGAAGTTGAATAAAACTGCAAAACTTATGAATAGATCTACTTTAAACTAATCAAACAGAAGATTACTGAAACTGTTCTCTGTGGATGATCTAAAATAGTTTTGGGTTTGTTTTTTTTACATGTGTTTTATGGATTAAAAAAAAGAAGATTTTTTTCATTTGAACACACTGTTTTGGGATTTAGCACAAGTGGATTTTATTTACAACAGATATTTTTCCTGCCTGTAGCAGTGAATGACACATTTTCAGGGACTAAAATGGGCTTCGATTACACCTTAATATTATATCTCAAATAGCGTATATTTATGCAAGGAATTATTTTAATATAAATTTATGTGATTATATGGCTGCTTGGTAATTAGTACAGTTACTGTCATTAAGGAGGAAGTTATCTAAGACACACACACTGAAAACTGTTCCACCACTGGGTCACAATTAATGCCACTGTAATATACCATGGGACTCATCATCATTGAGTTTCTTACACACAGCTGCTACCACAGCTGAGGAAGGTGATGGCAGCAGAGTAAGTGCATATCATAATAATCATCGGAATAAAATGATAATAAAGATAACATTGTTACATACACAATCAATGAGTTTCATGACTGAATAACACTTAGTGGAATTATTCAAAAACATCAGCATCAAGTTTTTATTTAACAGTGAACCAGTTTATTGGCATTTGACCATTTAATGTCAGGGGTATAAGGCCTTTTGTGGCGTCTCTTGTCCCTGCCTCTAATGCTCAGAAATGTGTGAAGCTCTGCTCCACCAGAACCATATCAAGTGCAAAGCACAGTTTGCCTTAGTGAATCATTGTAAGATTCATTTAAATATTCTCCTCTCAAAATTTGTGTGTGTATGTGTGTGTGTGAGAGACAGAATCTGAATACCTGCATCTGAACAGTTCCCTCATTTTCAAGGGGAAGCTATTCAGAGACAAATATATCAGACTAAATCCACCTCTATTTTAAGTCCATATTGATATTTTTTTAAGAGCACAGTAATCGAACTGTTAACAATGAGTACACAGTGAATGCTGTGATTGCAGCCATTCCCCAACTCTCTGTGAGTGGTACTCATGGCGACTAATCAATGGTCTCCGATCAATGATCAGTGGTCTGATCAATGGTTGTTGATCAATGGTCATGACAATTTGGATATTAATGATCAAAGACCTGACCTCACAGCCCAATGTTCATTCAGTGGGCTTGTTTCAGTTATTGTGCAAATGTACTATTTATAAGGTTGGGGGAAACTGCAGTCAGCTGAGACTGAAGAAGTCACTTGGATGACTGTCAAAGCGCACTTCTCTCACTGAAAACGTTTCGTCCAGATGAACAGAATCAAGCTTCTGGCATTTACTTACCTGGTTGATTGAGCATGCATCAAGACATTAGTTATTATTAATCTCTGGTTCTATTTCACAACATGTCTTTGTCCTCCCCTCGTCCCCAAATGGTCACGCCAGATGGACTCACTTCCCTGAGCCTTGTTCTGCAACCAGTTCTTCCTGTTAAAAGGGACTTTTTCTATCCCCAAGTGCTTACTCATAGGGGGTCGTCTGATTGTTGGGTTTCCTCTGTCTTTACCTTACAATATAAAATACTCCAAGAGTGTTGTTGTGAATCAGTGCTATATAGGTAAAACTGAAGTGAATCGAACTGAAAACTGAATACATGTTTTCACTTACAGGTGGTAGGTTTGTTGCAGTTGTGGCCATGTCTGAAGTACTGTGGGTTCTCTATAACAGGAATTCTAGTCATTCCAATCACCACTGCAGCTGGTCCAGCATCCAGTGTACAGGGGCTAATGATCCCATGGTTAACATGATGAAGGGGACTGGCAGAGTCTTCCTCACCACTTATCACTGCCACCGGACCTACAAAGACACAGATGGAGTGTTTAGATTGGATGAATATCTCTATACAGTCAGTCACTAACTGTTTCTAAGTCTAGGACACTTCCTCAAATATTTCCTGTTATTATAAGAAGAGTCTCTGAAACAAAGGGATGTGATGCAAGGGTAAAAGCAGAGTTTCTTCATTGATTAAGTGTGACTTATCCTCCTGAGAACCGAGGAAAAAAGTATCTTTCAGTTCAACGGTTTTTATGCGCTACAGAGGACACAATGAATAGGCTGTGTTTTAGGACGATATTGCTAACCTTAACAATCAGTCATAACAATCAATCAACAAACTAGAATCCAAACAGCTTGTACTTCAAAGCCAGTTCAAGATATACTTTATGTCACAAACATGACAAATATAAAAATAAGGCAAACATGAATTATATTGTTGTCTTAGTGACAGTAGTTGTTTAAAGTGCTTTAATTCTCTCTGTTGACAGTAGACTGTGGGATATTTAGTAGTGAGGACATTTCATAGTTGGACTTGCACAGGTGGCATCCTTTCACAGTATCATGGAAATTACTGAGCTCCTGAGAGCGACCCATTCTTTCACAAATGTTTGCAAAAGCAGTCTGGATGCCAAGGTGCTTGATTTTATACACCTGTGGCAGTGGAAGTTATTGGAACTTCTGAATTCAGTGATTCAGATGGGTGAGTGAATAATTTTGTCAGTACTACAGCTTTGTCTTATCTGCCTTATTAGCAATCCTACTAAGTTGTCACACAAAGCTGGGCTGACCTGTTTACTCAGTAGGTCAGTCCAGAGTTTTTATGTATCTGTGCTGCCCAGAGGACTGTATTACGAAGCAGGATTTCACCTTATCTCTGTAACTTCAGGGTTAACCCTGGGTTTTTTGCACTATGAAGGTGGATGATTACTTATCGAAGTACAATCTCCATAGTAACATGCACTGCAGATTCGAGATCAACTGATTTGAAATCACTACCTACTGACTTCAAATAATTTCAGCCTCATCTTCACTCAAATATTTGGATCTCTATCGCAGATATCAGTGTAAACAATTACAATATAACAAATGACGCAGCTAGACTGCTGTATCATTTTTTGTTTTTTATGATTAAGGTTTGGCTGTGAGTTCACTTCCTGACCTTTAAGAACATTTAAGTTCGAAACTGTTTATCCTTTATTAGATAATTTAGTCATAGTTGCCAAAAAAGGCTGTACGCTCACGAAAAAGTGAGTGTACAGCCACAGACGGACTATATAAAGATGGCTAAAACACTCAGAGCCTTTTCACTGGCTTGGGTGGGAAACTCAGAGAAAACACTCAGTTGTCACAGCAACAAACTCATTGTGATGCTGGTTGCTGCTTTGTGCCTTGAATGTTACAGCAGTGTTGGCAAACTGCAAACATGACATTCTTTGAAGAAATGAACTGAATAAAAAAAAGAATATATGATTAATCCACAGATGAGTATAGTTTTAACATGTGCAGCTTGTTAAAGTGGGGGCGGCTAAAATTTAATCCCTCAGACACAATGAAAAAGAACCCTCTCAATACAATAAAGTTACAATTCAGATATTTTGTAAGTTAAGAATTGTCCACCAACATGTTAAACCTAAATCTACATTTTATTATCTAAACCCTGAACTACAAATGCACCGAACTAAATAAATATATGCCTAATAGTTTTTCATAATTAATTTTCATATAGATTTTCTGCATGTAGTACAGCCTCGATTCAATTTCACTCCCAGAAGACCTACAGTGGGGCAAAAAAGTATTTAGTCAGCCACCGATTGTGCAAGTTCCCCCACTTAAAATGATGACAGAGGTCAGTAATTTGCACCAGAGGTACACTTCAACTGTGAGAGACAGAATGTGAAAAAAAAATCCATGAATCCACATGGTAGGATTTGTAAAGAATTTATTCGTAAATCAGGGTGGAAAATAAGTATTTGGTCACCTCAAACAAGGAAAATCTCTGGCTCTCACAGACCTGTAACGTCTTCTGTAAGAAGCTTTTCTGTCCCCCACTCGTTACCTGTATGAATGGCACCTGTTTGAACTCATCATCTGTATAAAAGACACCTGTCCACAGCCTCAAACAGTCAGACTCCAAACTCCGCCATGGCCAAGACCAAAGAGCTTTCGAAGGACACCAGGAAAAGTATTGTAGACCTGCACCAGACTGGGAAGAGTGAATCTACAATAGGCAAGCAGCTTGGTGTGAAAAAATCAACTGTGGGAGCAATCATCAGAAAATGGAAGACATACAAGACCACTGATAATCTCCCTCGATCTGGGGCTCCACGCAAGATCTCATCCCGTGGGGTCAAAATGATCATGAGAACGGTGAGCAAAGATCCCAGAACCACACGGGGGGACCTGGTGAATGACCTGCAGAGAGCTGGGACCAAAGTAACAAAGGTCACCATCAGTAACACACTACAACGGCAGGGAATCAAATCCCGCAGTGCCAGACGTGTTCCGCTGCTGAAGCCAGTGCATGTCCAGGCCCGTCTGAAGTTTGCCAGAGAGCACATGGATGATACAGCAGAGGATTGGGAGAATGTCATGTGGTCAGATGAAACCAAAGTAGAACTTTTTGGTATAAACTCAACTCGTCGTGTTTGGAGGAAGAAGAATACTGAGTTGCATCCCAAGAACACCATACCTACTGTGAAGCATGGGGGTGGAAACATCATGCTATGGGGCTGTTTTTCTGCCAAGGGGACAGGACGACTGATCCGTGTTAAGGACAGAATGAATGGGGCCATGTATCGTGAGATTTTGAGCCAAAACCTCCTTCCATCAGTGAGAACTTTGAAGATGAAACGAGGCTGGGTCTTCCAACATGACAATGATCCAAAACACACCGCCCGGGCAACAAAGGAGTGGCTCCGTAAGAAGCATTTGAAAGTCCTGGAGTGGCCTAGCCAGTCTCCAGACCTCAACCCCATAGAAAATCTGTGGCGGGAGTTGAAAGTCCGTGTTGCTCGGCGACAGCCCCAAAACATCACTGCTCTCGAGAAGATCTGCATGGAGGAATGGGCCAAAATACCAGCTACTGTGTGTGCAAACCTGGTAAAGACCTATAGTAAACGTTTGACCTCTGTTATTGCCAACAAAGGTTATGTTACAAAGTATTGAGTTGTATTTTTGTTATTGACCAAATACTTATTTTCCACCCTGATTTACGAATAAATTCTTTACAAATCCTACCATGTGGATTCATGGATTTTTTTTTCACATTCTGTCTCTCACAGTTGAAGTGTACCTCTGGTGCAAATTACTGACCTCTGTCATCATTTTAGGTGGGGGAACTTGCACAATCGGTGGCTGACTAAATACTTTTTTGCCCCACTGTATATGACTATATGCATCAGACAGACAGATGTAGAAAGACAGACCGTAGCTCAATGGGGGGAGAGCATGGTATCATTCAAGGTTTACAGTAGAATAAAACAACTAAAAAAAGGTCATACTAAAGAATGGACTGGATTGACCAAGGACCATAACAAATTCAATTACAGACATTTTTTATTCTCCTAAGAACACAACAATCCTATTGGAACCAAAAGGAGAGTACAGTGACATAAAGATGCCAATGTTCTTTCTTAGAAGAAACCAGAGAGTTTCTCCCAAAAAGAGTCTCTGAGGAGCAGGATTTATGAAGCCCTAATGGAATCATCCCTTTTTTATTCTTTTACAAACCATGCATTTGGAGCAATGGAAGTGAACAGTGACACAATATCAGTACACTTCATCTCACTGTAAGCTAAATGTCTTCAAAATGTGAGCGTGCATGCACGTGAACAGCCAGATGGTTCATATTGGGTTTCTGTGTGTTCATGGCCATTAAAACATAGTTTCTCTAGGGCTTCACTCAGGCCACACTGATCACACTGAGGGCCGGACATAGGTCACTGATGTATTTTAATGTAAAGTAAAATTGGCATCTCATTTATCATCTCATTCTCTCACCCCAACCGGTCACAGCAGATGGCCGCCCCTCCCTGAGCCTGGTTCTGCCGGAGGTTTCTTCCTGTTAAAAGGAAGTTTTTCCTTCCCACTGTCGCCAAAGTGCTTGCTCATAGGGGGTCATATGATTGTTGGGTTTTTCTCTGTATCTATGATGCGCCTTGAGGCGACTTTTGTTGTGATTTGGCGCTATATAAATAAAATTGAATTGAATGTACTCTCCTAACAATCTCTTTTCATAATCTATATCAATTAGATACAATTAATTATGCTTTGTAACAATTAGTTACGAAATTATTAATGCTGTTTGCCATTCACTGGCTGTAATTTTTAGCAATTTTTTTTGTCAAATGTTGAATAATTCTTCTTTTAAATCCTTTGAGATACAGATGATGACGATTGGTTGGATTCATCCTTTCTATGTCATTTTAATCTGTAGACCATCAGGATCAGCTGTGAGTTTCTTAGTGTATTTTGGTGATTTCTTATTGTCCTCCATTAAGTTGGAAAGAATCATTGTGTTGGGGAGTTTAAATTTTCATGTTGATTACAGCTTGTGCTCCATAGCTTCAATAGCTCCATAGCCCAAGTAACATCCACTAAAACAGCTCTCTGTGGAGACTACGAAACAACTGTAATCTAACTACACTGCAGTACAGCAATGTGAAGATGAAGTGATACACTCAGTATTTCTCTGTTGATGAGAAATTGTCCCTATAAGTATCACAGTTAATGGTCACCCATCACTGAGCTCTGACCTGTGTGCATACTGTCAAAGCTAATAATTATCATAATAACTGCAACTATGGGGTTTCTCATTTGTGTAAGAACATCATCACCTTAAGTACTTCAACTCATTTTACCTCAGAGAGCACAGGGTATCTTTGCAACTCCAATATTTAACAGCCTTTAGTTTTATTAAGAATGAACCTACACACAAGTCACAACGTGATTGTGCCTTCTGCAAGGTGAAACACCATTTTTTTGTCAGTTTCTCTTCAGAAAAAGCTGCCTGACAGCAGTTTCAGGATAGAAAACATTCATCTAATTGGGCTTTTGTTGCCTCTCTCTTTTACACCTTTGTGAAACCCTTTAAATTAAAAATGTAAAAGCTGCACTTCAATCACATCTCAATTGTTCGATTTATGGATTGGGTTGGTGCACAGAAGAAATAAAAATTGTCTAGTAACTTTAATTCTCATCAAGACACTAAAAAGAAAATTTGGTTTGAACTGAAGCACATAAACTCTCCAACCAAACAGAGTGACAATGTGAAACTGAGAAAAATCCAAGCTTGACTCATCATGCCTGGACCTTTTCCCACTCTAATCCCTTTTGAATCCACTGATATGAGTCAGGCTGGTAAACATGAGCATTCTGTGGACAGTTTACTTTCACTATTTCTAGATTTGATATGTGCAAACACCCACCTCTAGATACCACCTCATGATGGCAGTGTGTGAGTTGACATGCTGTAGCTTTAAACCTCTGTTCTGCTGCAGACACTCAGCTAGGACTGTGTACTGCTGCACGGCAAAGACCACATGCTACTCAGTGTACCCGTTCCACCCATACTGCATGCCAGTAGCATGCTTCTCTTTGTTGATTTTTTTTATAGTCAAGTTTTCACCACTAGTGTCTCCCCATTTATTTTCAATGTAACATTTTGATTTCAATTCAATTCAGTTTTATTTACATAGCGCCAAATCACAGCAACAGTTGCTTGAAGGTACTTTACATTGTTAGGTATAGACCCTACAATAATACAGAGCACGTTTCTAATTGCTTCTCAGAATAACAATAGGGAGAATAAATTATGGATGGAAACATCTGTTTCCCAATATTTCCAAGGAATTGTACTGCTTTTGTACACACTTGTGACATTTAGCAAGCTAAAAATCCCAATATCTTTGCCATCAGCAGTATAGCTAATCAAATAACATACAACACAACGTATCACTTAGTCTTGCAATATGTTATCATAATCAGTTCATATAGATTTAAAACAGAATGCTGTGCTGGTTGTTCCTTACTAGTCAGTAAATAATATAAAATAAAAGTCTTATCCAACCAAAAAAATGATTTCATCACAGCATGCATCAAGTGACAAAGAGGGAAAAGAAAGATGCTGTAGAGGTCAAAGGTGAAAAAAAGTCCAGACTGGCCAAACAGTCAAACTGTTTTTTTGGCACTTTGTTGTCTCCTATGTGTTTTTCTATTGTTCCTCCATTTGGTCTTGATTGCACTTGTATTGCTTGCATAGTATAGTACCATGTTTGCATAGTATGTCACAAATATTATCTGCAATTTTCTGCAGTCCACCACACAAGAGGTGTGGACTCGAGTCACATGACTTGGACTCGAGTCAGACTCGAGTCATTAATTTTATGACTTTAGACTTGACTTGAAAAAATGTTCTAAGACTTGTGACTTGACTTGGACTTTTACACCAATGACTTGGGACTTGAATTGGACTTGAACCGGTTTACTTGAAAAGACTTGATATTTCACCCCAAATATAAAATTTAACATGCATATTATATAGAGATTGAAAATGTGACGTCATTCACGGGTAGAACCGCAAAGGATTCTGGGAACTCGTGGCAAGCGGTACTAGCGCACGCAGGCTTTCAATTAAAATCAGTTAACAGCGATAAAAAGAAACACAAAAATGTCAAGAAGCTGTTGTATTATTAACTGCAATAGCCGGTCGCATGACAGCCACGGGAAGCCGACGGGTAAAGAGATCGGTTGTTATCGGATTACGTCGTTGAAGAGAAATTGTTCGAGCCATGTTTCCGAAGTAACAAAGACGCGACGGATGGCCTGGATTGCAGCCATTCAAAGACCAAATATAACGTCCCAGAACACTCCAGCTCACAGGTTAGTCTGCTCCAAGCATTTACACGAAGGTCAGTGTTTTTTAGTAGTTAATGCGTCATTTTCATAACATAATTGGTGATATAGGTTACAAGCAAGTCTGGCGCTGAACAGAAATTGTCGCGCTATGCTCCTTTTATTGTTTATTGTGCATAAATAGTGAATTGTCCTGACACAATATTGCGTTTCGCTTCTGTTATTATGGTACATTGACAAAAACATATACTTTTATTCACAGGATAAAACAGTTGTTTTGTATCACTAATTGCCCAGTACGATTACAGCATACAGTATTATTGTCACTGCTACATTTCTGTGATGCTACCAGAAATTATTTCCACTACTAATTAATTACCGTTGAGCTCAAAGGTCCTATTAATAAACGGTTAACGAATGTGTATTTATGACGACGATTTGTGAGACTGGTAAACTTATGATACGTACGATGGTCTTTCTTCTACACGGTGCATTTCAAGGTCCTGCACCCATCCGTCGGTAAACTGTACCTGGGCTTGTTGCAGTGACCTGAAGTTACTAAACTTCATGAGTGTATGCACTCACTCCAAGAACCGTATGATTATAAATATGCATATAAATATGCTACGATGAGATAGCTGACTTCATCTAACTAGCAAATGTTGTCCAGGCTACGTTGGTGATGCAGTTTTTTTTTAATGATATTTTAAAAAAAAATCATTTATTTATGTATGATATTTTTGTCATGCGATTTTAAAGCCGGTCCTACAACCGCATCCAAGAATAACATGCAGCTTATCTCAGAACTGTCGGTGAAAATTATTCTTGGAGCTAGGTTTAATTGAGCTGCATTTTAAAGAGGTGCAATTTCACAATTTGTGTATATTTTCTAAGTTCACTATTTTGTCATGTGTTGAGAAAAACACAGATTTAAAAATTACATGGTCTAATATTTACATTTAGCATAACTGCAACATTTTTTTTCGTTTTTTTTTAAAGACTCGAAAGGACTTGAAATTCAAAATTTCAGACTTGTGACTTTACTCGGACTTTTACACCAGTGACTTGAGACTCGACTCTGACTTGCCTGACATTACTTGAGACTTGAGGATAAAGACTTGAGACTTACTTGAGACTTGCAAAACAATGACTTGGTCCCACCTCTGCACCACACTATATACTCATATGAGTGTGTGCACACAATGAAAAAACGAGCAAAGCAGATTTCACACTTCTAATATTTCCTTCTAAGGATTCAGTTCAATTTTATTTCTATAGTGCAGATTTAGAACGACTACAATCAGCACTGTGAGCTCCTCTTTCTGCTGCCCACCTTCATATAAGTCACACATGTGATTTTTATTCCAGATCAAAGACAGAGCAGAAAGACTAAAAATACATTCGCTCTTACCTTTCATGCCAAACTTGGATCGTCCACCATACTTGTTGATGAGAAGAAAGAGAACCACCAGCATTAAACTTAGGGCAAATCCTGCCAGGCCCACTGCTATGGATACCTGTAAATCACATGAAGTCTAAACGTCACAGTCACACAGTTTCACGGCATTGAATTGAAAGTACCTGACTTCTAAAGTATTTTCAGGAGCGAGGACTCAGTATCTTTAGACCCACAAACATCACAAAATACTGTCTTCAGCAGGCAGTAATATTTGAACTAGTAAGATTTTTAAGTTCTAAAACCAAATGGTGAAGAATCCCTAGATATGAGGGTCGTCAGCCCACTATCAATCATGGGCCTCACCACATGCCAAGGTGTGAAAAAAGCTGTGGGTCATTATCAGCAGAGGTTTCGGGTGAAACGATTGGGAGACCTTAGCTCACCCTATTATTTGACCCACTGAAATCACCTGATGCAAGATGTGAATGGCAGTTGAGATGCCTGGGAAGGGGTCTAAAAACTGCACTGTAGGCGGCAGACAGTTTCTCTTACCCCAAAAGTATCTTCCTCCGGTATGTGAGTCTCTGCAGTTGGAATTACTGTAAGAAAAACAAAAAATGTTAGTTTGTTTTCCCAGGCAGAGGTAAAGTACAGGTGCATCTCTTAGTTGTTGGGTGTCGCTGGTTAGTGTTTGGGGCAACATAACTGACTTGTTTTAGGCGGTGGCATCTTATTCCACTCACCTTTCTCTGTGGGTCCTTTAAGAAAAAGAAAGAAATCACACATTATTAACAAATTCTTGCAGTTTTGCTTGATATGATTTCTGCTGCTGAACAGTTTCGTTTGTTGAATGTTTTTTTTCATAATGTTAGACAAAACAACAAAAAATAATACATGCAACAATTCAACTCAATTCAGTTTGATTTGTATACTGCTAAATCACAACAGTAATTTCCTCATGGGGCTTTTTATTGTGAGATGAGGGACCCTACAATAATACAGAGAAAACAGAGGAAAAACCCACCTATGAGATAAACCCTTTGAACAAGCACTTTGGTGACATTGGGAAGGAAAACATCCCCTTTATCAGGAAGAAACCTCAAACAGAACCAGGCTCATTGGAGGAGCAACTATCTGTCACGGCCTGCATTACTCCATATTAAACCTTGGTGTGTGAAGAGGGGTCTGTAATTACATAAACAAGCACCACTTCATCTTCAGCATATGAGTTATTTGCTCTAAGGTGTGTGTTTAAGAGTTATACCAATGATTCAAGTACTGGTAGAGTTTCCCAGAGGAACCACAGTATGGAGTCTTACACAGTGAAGATGTAAAACTATTAGTAATATAATTTACCTCTGTGGGAGTCGAGTTCAGGAAGCTGTTCTGTATTGTGTTAGCACATGACACTCAAGTTGACAGTGAGGGAATTATATCCTTAAATTTAGTTAGACCACTTTCAGAAAGACATTTACTGCAATGAAATTTATTCCCAAATAATCTGTAATCTATTATTGTAAATGTTATTAGCGTTAGTAAGGAATTAGTTAGGGCTTGACCCCGAATCCTCAGCTGCAATAGCTCTAGGCTGATGATGCCTTGAGTGTTTCAGCTTTTTCACTCACTTTGTGTTTATGCACCTCTCTGAATTCAACGATTATTATTTATTAACAATCCCTGACTCTTTTCCGCAGTGTGTCTTTGTCTTCCTCCCCTCACACGGCAGATGGCTGCCAGTTCTGTAAGCCTGATTCTGCTGAAGGTTTCTTCCTGTTACAAGGGAGTTTTTCTTTCCCACCATCACTAAAGTGCTTGCTCATAGTGGGGTCAAATGATTGTTGGGCTTTTCATTGTATTGTTTTTTGTTATTTTTTTTAAAGGAAAACAAATGAAATGGAAAACTACATAATTTCCCCTAGTGATCAATAAAGTATTCTGATTGTGATAATGTATTGATGGATAATAAAACTCACCATAATCGTAATCATCTATAAAAGAAAGAGAAGAGAAAAAGTGATGATTGGAAAAGATCCTCTGTAAGGCATACTCTACAAAGGAATCTGATCAAACAACCAACGGCATCACTTCAAAGAAAGCAGGTGTAAATGACTGAAAACTGAAAATGTGAAAAATTTGGAAATAAATAACACTACTAAGAAGCTTATCATATCCTGTATGACTTTTCTAATTTCTCCGCATCTAATTTACACTTAGGCTAAATATAAGCATTATTTCACAACTACATCCAGTACTAACACAGGGCGATGATTAGAGCATGTTTTGTTTTATAAGAAAACTGTGACACTGAGTCAAACCGAATGCTAAATCATGACAGTGTGCTTGATCGGAATCTCTGATAAAGCACAGGGAACTAAAATGTTCCTTTAGCAGAAACTTGTTGTTTTGTTTTTTTTTTACTTTTTCCTGCAAAGGTTCTAAACAAAACTGAAAACTGAGCTTGAAAGCAGCAGAATAATGCAGTGGTTCCTTGTGGTACAAGGCTAAATTAGACCGGGAACATTTCATGTTTTGTTTGTTTGAATATTACTTTTAATGTGGCAAAGCAGTTTTTGAGTTTCATTATTGCCATTGTTTAACATTCGATCAACATGCAGACTAATAATTCAGGGTCATGTTCAAAAGTAAAGACTTTTCCTTGATTCAGACAACTGATACATTTGAAACTTCCATGTTCACTTTAACAGGGGGCACTTGCAAGAGTGGGACCCTATGGTGCTGTAGCCCAAAAAGGTTGCGTAACTTTTACAGGATAAACATTCTTCTTGTTCTAGTTTGTGAAAGATTTTGATAAAATAGAAATGGCATGGAACACATCTGCAATGATACATGTAGATTTCTCTCTGGACTGGCAGAAATGGATGACATTTAAACCTTTTAAGAAAGGGACTGGAAAATGTGCTCCAGCTACAAGAGGATCCCATTCCTCAGCCTCCCTAGGTAGATCTATGCCAGACGGAGAACCGTGGTTTGACTTCCAGCCAATACTAAGATGGTTTGCAGCTCATCTGAACTGGCAGGAAAAAGAATTAGGAACTCGACATTCAAAGCCACGGCTCTCAATCAGAAAAGGATGGAGTGCCCACTCAAAATGTACTGCCCTTTCTCTGAGTCTTGTTCAAAAGTAAGGGGAAACTGGAGCAGGTGACTGACAGATTGATGTAGTGCCGACAGCGATGCAGGTGCTGTGGTGAAGACACAGCTGGGGTGAAGGCAAAGCTTTTGATTTACTTTAGTATAACTCTAAATGATTGAACTTACCAAAAGGCTTTTCCAGGAAGTGCCCATACACAGTACTGGTGACTATGCCCAGGTAGTTTCTGGCCTCCAGAGTATAATTGCCATTATTGTGGTGTGTTGGGTTTTTAAAGGTTAGGCATCCCTCTATGTAGTCCAGGTAAATATCCATGTCAGGACGCACATACTCAGTGTGGGAAATTTCCTACATTGTGAAGAAATGACAAGGATTGATGTGAAAGAGATCAGCTACAGCCCTGAAAACTTATGTGCATGATACAGTATACAGAGCTCTGTAACATTTCTTCTAAGACTTTGTAGAAATCTTTACTTTAAAAGTAAGTTTAATATTTTTTTCTAAAACCCTAGTAGTTATTGTTGGTAGTTAACAAAGCAGGTTTTTTCTTAAACCAAACAGCAAATAGTAGTCCCTCAGAAATGTAATGATAAAGCTAGATAGAAGTCTAAATAAAATATATTAATAAGCTGATAACAATGGATGATATTTGATATTAATTGAAATTCATCTTCCCCTATGTTCCAAACATTGCCCTTTTGGCTGTTTTGAGGTAATGATGTGAAGAAAATGACATGGAAACAGTTATGGTAGCTTCTGTGTAACATTTGGACTGTTAAACAAACCTTTTCTCCTGCATTTCATAAAATAGAACAACATATCTAGCATTTGCTAATTCATATTGCATTACGATTCAGTGGACCCAAATTGTATTTTTATGTTTAGTGTCAGTCACCTCCTGTTTTTAAACTCTAACTGCAATGCCACATACATACTAGCACAGTTGTTTCCAGGATCTTTCAAAGGACTTGTCACTTGGGGAAACAGCAACAAGTCTGAGGGGTGCCACAGGAAATATGAATATTTAATCAGAAATAACTTTTCTTCTTCTGTCAGCTGCTCCCTTTAGAAGTCACAGCAGATCAACTGCCTCCATCTATTCTTATTTCTAGAATCCTCCTCTGTCACACCAACCCTCTGCTTGTCCTCCTCCACTTGATCCATGAAAGTTCCCTGTACCCCTCATCTGCACATATCCAAACTATTTCAGTCTTGCCTCAAAACCTGAACTGTCCCACTCATATGCTCAGTTCTAATCCTATCTCATCCCCATTTAGGATTACAAAAAACAAATTTAGCATTTCTATGGTACATGAAACAAACCAAAAAACTAAAATTTGAAAGGACTATTTTCAACTTTATATAATCCATAGTAAGGTTATTATAATTACCAAAATAAACCTTGGATAACTACAATTGTAAGTGGAATTGAAGCTTTACAGACAATATGTTTCTAATAAATGGTTGCTGAGTTACTTTCAACCTAAACCAGTCACAACCTCGCAGTACTTGTATTAGAGTTGATGAGTATGTCTTTTTTTTTTTTATTAATATTTACCTCTTCCCAGTGGCATTTACCCAACAATTTACTATAATGTACTGAGTAAATACTAACTAAGGGGCTGTAAATGTAACCGCTTTTTTGATGAGCACAGAAATTCAGTTTTTTCATAAATGACATTTCCTTTTACAGAAAGTAACAAGTACACAACACATTTTTATCAAACAAAATTAAAAAAAAATAGTGCACAATAGATTTACGAGCATGAAATTAAAAATATACCTTATCTTGATAGAACCATCGTAAGACTGGGTGGGGTGAACCACGAACGGTAAACTCAATGCACGTGTCATGGCGGCGTTCTGGCTCCTTCAGCCTAATAATGGTGGGAGGAACTTAAGAGACAAAGAGGACAAAGAATAAAGAAAAAAATGTAAACAATCTGCACTTGTATAGCACATGTTAACAGGTACTCACCTGCTTAAGTTAAAATTAAACCAAAGAAAGAAGTAAACTATTTTTGTGTTTCCCATATAAACTTGATCGTTTTTACTGTCAAAAAACCTTAAAACACTGAAATGTGCACTTCTAAAATTGCATTGGATTTCCTTTCAGGTTTAAGGTTTTTAAGGTTTTAAAGTAGCAGTTTTAAAAAAAAGATTGAGAAAAACTGAATGATTTTGGCTGTCTTGTAGAAAGCAACAAAATGACAGAAGTATTTCTACCCTTTCTACCACCTGATCTGCTTGTGTCAGAAATTAAATCCCACTTCACCATCAGCCTCCAGAAAGTCTCATCAAAGCAAACTACACATCAGGACAAATTTAAAGGGTATTTGCATGTGGACAAAACTTCAAGTATGAAATTATTTTTATAGGTATTTTAAATAATTTTGCCTTTAACAACACCAAGATAGCGGATAGACAGTGCAGCAAGTTCCACAGCCAGACTCGACTCATGTTCATTACATGTTCTTTATGATTTGGTCAGTTGGCCATAGCTGGTATAATTTTTTCTATAAACTAATACTGAGTAAATTACATAAACCAGTTTACCTTTGTAACATTTTCTGTTTTAGTACCAATAATAATCCTCTACAGGGAGTGCAGAATTATTAGGCAAGTTGTATTTTTGAGGAATAATTTTATTATTGAACAACAACCATGTTCTCAATGAACCCAAAAAACTCATTAATATCAAAGCTGAATGTTTTTGGAAGTAGTTTTTAGTTTGTTTTTAGTTTTAGCTATTTTAGGGGGATATCTGTGTGTGCAGGTGACTATTACTGTGCATAATTATTAGGCAACTTAACAAAAAACAAATATATACCCATTTCAATTATTTATTTTTACCAGTGAAACCAATATAACATCTCCACATTCACAAATATACATTTCTGACATTCAAAAACAAAACAAAAACAAATCAGCGACCAATATAGCCACCTTTCTTTGCAAGGACACTCAAAAGCCTGCCATCCATGGATTCTGTCAGTGTTTTGATCTGTTCACCATCAACATTGCGTGCAGCAGCAACCACAGCCTCCCAGACACTGTTCAGAGAGGTGTACTGTTTTCCCTCCTTGTAAATCTCACATTTGATGATGGACCACAGGTTCTCAATGGGGTTCAGATCAGGTGAACAAGGAGGCCATGTCATTAGTTTTTCTTCTTTTATACCCTTTCTTGCCAGCCACGCTGTGGAGTACTTGGACGCGTGTGATGGAGCATTGTCCTGCATGAAAATCATGTTTTTCTTGAAGGATGCAGACTTCTTCCTGTACCACTGCTTGAAGAAGGTGTCTTCCAGAAACTGGCAGTAGGACTGGGAGTTGAGCTTGACTCCATCCTCAACCCGAAAAGGCCCCACAAGCTCATCTTTGATGATACCAGCCCAAACCAGTACTCCACCTCCACCTTGCTGGCGTCTGAGTCGGACTGGAGCTCTCTGCCCTTTACCAATCCAGCCACGGGCCCATCCATCTGGCCCATCAAGACTCACTCTCATTTCATCAGTCCATAAAACCTTAGAAAAACCAGTCTTGAGATATTTCTTGGCCCAGTCTTGACGTTTCAGCTTGTGTGTCTTGTTCAGTGGTGGTCGTCTTTCAGCCTTTCTTACCTTGGCCATGTCTCTGAGTATTGCACACCTTGTGCTTTTGGGCACTCCAGTGATGTTGCAGCTCTGAAATATGGCCAAACTGGTGGCAAGTGGCATCTTGGCAGCTGCACGCTTGACTTTTCTCAGTTCATGGGCAGTTATTTTGCGCCTTGGTTTTTCCACACGCTTCTTGCGACCCTGTTGACTATTTTGAATGAAACGCTTGATTGTTCGATGATCACGCTTCAGAAGCTTTGCAATTTTGAGACTGCTGCATCCCTCTGCTAAGATGATTGCACATTTGACTATTTTGGCCTAATAATTCTGCACTTCCTGTATGCTCCTCCTCATGGATCCCTTTGTGTGTAACTATGCTTGTGTATGGGATGAACTTGAACTTAAACATGCTTACATCTAGTGCTAAATTTATACATCATCAGGAACACAGTGGAGATGTCTCAAGAGGTGATAATATTAGATGATGTTTTTCTAGATGTACTGAGTTTATATAGCTGTTACCTTGGACAGGTCTCCATTAAAAAGGGTTTTGATGTCAGTGGGACTTCCGAGTTAAACAAAGTTTATTATAATAATAACAATAATAATGATAAAAATAACAACAAATATCATTATACATAAATGGATGATTGTATATAGATATTTAAAGCTGTAATGAACACATTAAAAAAAGAAAAAAGAAAAAAAAAAAAGCTTGAATGGTAATGGTAAATGGACTGGTCATGTCCCCGGGTTTCTACCAAGTATTTTGAGTTTTTGTTTTGGGCTCATAATTTATTTCTTTCAAATTTAGTTCTGCATTATTTAGTCTTGAGTATAGCTCTTGCTAGTGCCTCTGTGTTTTGTTTCTAGTTCCTTGTTTAACTGTGTTAATTCCCCTTTGTGTCCAGTCTGTCCTGTCCTGAAGTCAGTCTCATTTCTGTATTCCTTTTCATCTCTAGGGCGTGTCCTTGTCCTAAAGCTTTTCTACTCTACCTGAGTAATCGAAGTGTTTTATAGAACATACCTCATTCACCGATTCATACAAGCACTTCTTTTTATTCATTCACACAGATTAATACACATATTAACACATTAATGGATGCATTGGAGAGCAACTTGGGGTTAGTATCTTGCCCAAGGACACTTTTGCATGTAGACTAGATTAGACTATAGCTACCCCAGTAAATGGGTGAAATATTGTGGGTAATCCCTAAATACCTGAAAATACCTGGAAATTGGAGCAATACAAAAATTTATTAAAAAAAATGAATACATACAAAATAAAAACTATATGGTCAGAGGTCCCAGGCAGCTCAGCAGAGTGAGCCCAAGCAAGTCAGGAAATTTAATAAATATATAGATCTCTGTATAATGGAGACCTTCCTCACTTTTAATGGTTACTAAGAATAGCATTACACAGATGTTTAGACTGGAATCACACAGCTGTCTTGATCAAAGGGAGGATGACCCAGTGCATGACCCCTGCCAAAAAAGCCCCCACACTATGCTGGGAGACAGCTTATTGGATGCTTTGCATTTGCTGCCCCCTCATGGGGTTATTCAGACTGGTCCAGATCAATATACTACAATAACCTGCTGTTGATACAGATGAGGGAAAAAAATCTACTGCAGCTTAAAAAAATAATTATGCAACTTATTTCCAGGTGAGTCATCTCCCTGTATTACTGCATTGTTAACCCTGAACTCGGTTTCTCCACCTGCCAGATCCCACTTTAAACACTGCTAAATAATAATAGAAATAAAAAATAACCAAAATAGTTATAGTATACATCACAAAAACAAGTGGTCTTTCGGCAGTTGAACACAGCCTCTACAACACTTAGTGTGGGACTAGGTACCAAGAATAGAATAGAATAGAATTCAACTTTATTGTCATTGCACATGTCACAAGTACAAGGCAACGAAATGCAGTTTGCATCCATCCAGAAGTGCCACTTCTGGACTGGCAGAAAACAAAACCACACTGTAAGAAAATGAAGTCAACATGTAGTGATCATGAGCTGGCCGTGATGTTTCTAAACAAGAAATGTAAGAAACTGAGATTCCGTTCCATCCAATTCTGAGGAGAAGCAGCAGCAGGGAGACTGGTTTGATCCAGGAGTTAAAGCTGTATAATGGCTTTTATACATATTTCAGGATGTCAGTGGGATAGTTTGAGCTCTTGCTGGCAGAGTTGGGACCACATCTAAGGAGGCAGTGAAATCCTTTTAGAGTGCCCACTGACCCAGAGCAGCATCTACTGTAGCTGTGGGTCTGAGATTAAATAGGATTACTCTACTATTTCCCAAATCATTTTTTTTATCAGTACTGGTTCTGAAAATTTAAAAAGAATCGAGCTTGGTTTGAAAACATAAATTCCGCCAGTTACACGGTTGGTGTAAACAGCTGCATTAAGAATAGTTGAGTCTGAAAACCAGTTTTAACACATAAAATATGTCCACTGATTTTACATGTCTGTTGTGCATAGGCCTTTATTGCTATAATATTCTTGCAGCCGCTTCAGTCCTTTACAATCCAAGGCCTACCCTACAATCTCAAACACAGCTGCAACATATTAGTCACTGTGTGACATTATTTAGCCCTCTGCATATACCCTTGGCTGCAATAAACCTTAAACACCACTAGTATGCACTCAAAGAAGACAAATGATACCACAGTAATTTCTCCCTGCAATATTCTAAGATTTGCACAAACATTAACCTAAGTACAAAGAAGCAGCTATCTAATAACGCTAATATATTATATACTACTATATACTAATACTTATAAATATTGATTCAAGACAATTACAAAATTTGGCAGCTAAAATAGAACTAAAACAAAAATAGATGTAAAGTCAAAATTTTAACAATGAATTTGTCAGCTCCCATCTTTAACTAGTTATTACTATTATTAATCTCTTCCACAGTATTTCAGTCACTTAACTGCCTCATAGAAATCTCAAAGACAATCTCATAGAGTAAAGCTAGAGTTTTAATTTATGAGTGCATCTTACTAAGATTTATATATTTAAAAGAAGAGAGCTTAAAATGGATACAGTAGCCAACTCACATTTCCACAACTATTTATAATGCTACTTTTCACAGTTTTCATGGAGTGCAGTTTTGTGTATAACGTTGTGTCTGTGGTGTCTACTTACAGTGAACAGTTAGCTGAACTGAAGCATTGGTCATGCCCACTATGTTGGTGGCAGTGCATACTAATAGGAAGTTGTTGTCATCTCTGCTTACATTGACCAAGGTTATGTTGATGGAGTGAATAGTATTGTCGTAGACTCTAGCCTGGAGGGACAACAAGATAAAATAAACAAGCATAAGCAACAAAAATATGGTCCAATAGAAACATTGATTGTTTAGAGGATGTCATGGTCCTGGGCCATGTTGGCCCAGCATTCTCAGTTTTCATGCATCTTGTATTTTTCTTTATTTATGCCTTGGTTTCCAGGTTGTCCTGTTAAAATGTTCCTTATTTGATTACCCCCTGTGTGCCCCTCTGTGTATCTGTGAGCCCTCATTTCCCCTCCTTGTGTTTCATTCAATGTTTTCCCCAGCCCGTTATGTCTGGTCTCTCTCTCCCCTCCTGTCTGCACCTCTGTGCACTTCCTGTTTTACTTTGTCAGTCTCCCATCAGTGTTGTTTACTCCTGCCATGTCTTGTTATAATTATCAGTGTCACCTGTGTTCCCCGTGTGCTCCTACTTCCCTCGTTAACCCTCTGAGTATTTATGTCCGCGTCTCCCTCAGTTCAGTGTCGCGTTCTCCCTCATGACTGTGTGCCCCTCCGTGTGTTTCCTCGTGAGTCAGTTCCTTTATGACTCCCCAGTTTAGTTTCATATTATTTTGTATCGCCTTAACTTCCATCAGCAATAAAGCTGTATTTTGAGTTCAGTCCTGTTCTCCCGTGAGTTTGCGCTTGGGTCCTCATCCTGCCTGCACACAGCCTAAATATGACAGAGGAAGCAATTAATGAACTATACTCAGCAAGACCAATCGAAGAGAAACGGTCTCAGCGGTTAGTTATACTTTTATTTATGAAGAAATTCATCGCTAGTTTAAAAACACACAGCTCAACAGAGTTCTTAATCTGAAGAAAGAAACTTGGTCTTGTTCCAGTTTTCCTCTATCAGTGACGAGTAGTAAGATGTCTTTTCTTTACTAAGGTTTTTTTTTTTTTTTAAAAACTTAGAGTAACAAAACATTTTTAATAAATATCTACTAAATTAGGGAAACACTTTCGAGCTACTGGGTTATCTGTTTTAAGGAGTGCGTTTGAGAATTATACTACAACTCAAACCTCTCTGATTTGTTTCTTTATCTGAGTAGTCATGGTATCCAGCATCATACGCAGTGAGGATGCTCACTATGTGGCAGTGAGTGGTCTCCAGCTCCACTGCAGAGTGGGCGTGGTGAAGCTGGAGAAGTGATGGCCGGAAAGTTGTGGGGAGCAAGAGCACAAGTTTTGGAGTGTAGCTGCACTAAATAAATGGAAAAATTGCAGTACTAAGCTGAGCACCAGATGCAATGTCCTGGAGACGCTGGTCGGTCAGTCTGGGTCCTCTTCACGGCTGCCCTCCCCAGGCCTGTGAGAGATGTTGCACCGGATGGGGGCAGAGGATGATCCCCAGACATTCCTCGACTTGTTACAGGACATGAAAGAGGAATGCCAATAGCCTACAGAGGAGTGGTCACTATGGCTATTGCTGCTCTTGTTGCGGGAGGACCAGATGGCTGCCCTAAGCTTGGCACCAGCTTCGAGAAGGAGCTTCCCTGTTGCATGCAAAGCCATCCTGGACCACCTGGGCCTCTCTCTGGAAAATCACCGCCAGTTTTCCAAAACAGCAAGATGGCAGCAGGCTTGCTGGCTATGACGGCTGGTTCGTTCTCAACTTCACAGAGCTCACCAGCCCCCCAAAAGGGTGCCCCGGGTCTGGTTCGGTAGACGGGGCAGTGTTAGGTGGCATATGTGTTGGTGAAGAAGGCTCTCTGTGGGGAACCCTTGCTCTAAACCCCTGATTCTATTGATTATGGTAAATTTAAAACTTGTCAAAAATGGTCATTAAAAAAGGAGGGTTTTTTGTTATATGATCAGGTTTTATGTCCTATCCCAGGACAAGATCAGAATGCGATTAAACTTGTGAGTAAGCTTATTTTAATTTTGAGGACAGCCTGTTGACTCAAATATTAAATTAAAAGTAGTCTTGAGGCAGTTATTTCAAGCTTCTACATGATTGTTAAAATCAACTCCCATAAAAAACAGGCAAGTGATTGAGCTACAACAATTAGTTGTTGTAGCTTTGTTAATTAACCCCTTCATATCAGTAGCTAAAGCTAACTTTTAAAATAAATCCAAAGAGTACAGTGGTCTCTTTCTAGTAATAATTATGTCAATAAATGATACCAAGAAGACATAGAAAAGCTATTTATGAAGGAACGTCCTGCTGCCATTTGGTATCAATTTACGGAATGCCGTCATTTCAAGCCTAGGATTAGTCCGTTCTCTGTGAAGTTGTGAATTTGTGCATGCCCTCCCTACCTCTTGTGCATTGATGGAGTGCAAGCCAGTGACAGGCCAATCCACTTCAGGTAATGGTGAACCAGAGCCATTACAGATTGCCGTTACTTGATCACCTTCGACAACTGTGAGGTTGCTGTGGCTGACGCTGATATCTGGTAGGTCTGAGAAGGGAATACAGAGAAGGAGAAAGAGAAAAATATGTTATCCTATGTTCCTCCTTCTTAAAGTATGTATTCACCAAAGTCGTTTCCATCCTTTTCACAAAACCCACCATCATCTGAACAATCTCTCCGTAACACCATACCTACCTAATACCTCCTCATCACCTCTGTTCCCTTCAGCTACAGGTCTATTAAAGTCTGCTGTAATCACTGCTCTCTCCACCCTGGGGATGCTCTACCACTGAGATTCAAACTGAAACTGATCTGATACCACCCCAAAGAGATTTTTTTTTT